AAGGATTTCATCAAGAGTGTGTCAGTAAACCGGATAGTCAAAGATGCTACTAGGGAACCTGGTTCCTTAGTACAACAATCTATGACAGTTGAGGAAACTGTTGAGGAACAGAAAGGGTCATCTGTGAAGTACAGTAGCAAGTCTAAACGGAGTCAAACTGAGTTAGCCATGTCTGAGGACAATACTGTGGGGATAGCAAGCTGGAAAGGAAAGTCTGCCAAAGGGCCTAGCAAATGAAAAAGGGAAACTGTTAAAGAACCTGGTTCAATAAGGTCCATGACCTGTGGTGGTGGTCTTTGGCAGCAGAGATTAAGAACTCAAAATGTATTGTGGGATCGTACATTTGATCCATCAATTTCGGAGATGGCAGACATGAGACAAATTCTGGAGATTGTAGATTTTCAACAATGGGAACACTTGTTTGAAGGGAGCATGCCTCCGGTGTATGAAGGTACAGTACAAACTTTCTACGCATCTCCTTTCACTGTTGAGAGGGATCACATTTGTGCGCTCGTAAACGGAGTAGACATTGTACTCGACGCTTCAACACTGGGAAAGGTTCTGAATTCCGTGTGAAGGTATGTCCTCAGTTAAGTGTATGTATGAAAGAGCAAGCTATCCAACAGGGGGAACATGTGCATAAGAAGGTATTGCTTCCTAAGTACCAGCTTCTTTTTGAACTGGTCAATAAAGTACTCTTACCCCACTCTGAGAGGCGCTCTAGTGCTACAAAATCAGATATGGTCCTAATGGAAGCGCTTGATGAGTTTATCCCAATTAATTTTCCATCAATCATGACAGATCATATGCAGAAGGTGGCAAATTTTAAGGGTGGAAATCATAGGTTACCTTATGGCTTTCTCCTCACTCAGGTGTTCAGATTTTATAAGGTTCCCTTGGGGAATCCTAGAGTGGGCACATGCAAGCAGACCTTCTCTAAGCCTACTCTAGAAGAATGTGAATGTATAGAAAGAGCTGGTGGAAGTATCTCGATCATTTATCAGCTGATCAACGCTCAAAATGTAGCATCTAAGGAAATAAGACGACTGAGGCTCGAAATGCCATACTGGAAACTTAGCTCAGTCAAGCAACTAAAGGACTTGATTCTGTAAGTGAGAAGGTTGTACGACTGACAAAGGAAAATAAGAGACTTTGGGATCAATTACTTGAAGAACAACTGTCTGCAAATGCTAGACTAGACCTGGTTCTCAAAACCACTATTGTCTCTTCCTCCAAGCCTCCTTCTTTTAGTGTCCCCTAGGATCCTCTTTGTGTCAAGCTATTTTTGCTCCAACATCCTGTGGCTGCTGTTTTACTTTTGTTTGCTTGTTTTTGTGATGGCATGTTGAACTTAACCATTACTACTTCTGACTTACTCAGTCCAATGTAAACATTAATAAAACAGCTCCCCTTTTGTTGCTTGTACAATATTGTGTTCTTATGGCTTCTCTTTTCTATCATGTCGTGTGCACATATGTGGCATGACTGGCTGTGTTAGACTTCTTTATGCTTATTACATGCTTGTGATCTTCTTAATACCTATTTTTTTAATGATGCCAAAAGGGGGAAAGAAGTGTGTAGGTGAGAGTGAGGGGTAGGTGAGGATTAAGGGGGAACTATCAAGCGATCAAGGGAAAATCACAAAGAGGGGGAGATCCAAGATTAAGGGGGAACTATCAAGCGATCAAGGGAAAATCACAAAGAGGGGGAGATCCAAGATTAAGGGGGAACTTCGTATAGTTCTATTATCCCATCTGGTTATTTCTGCTCTAAACAAATACTGACCATGCCTAAGTTTGTCATCATCAAAATGAGGGAAATTGATGGATTTTCAATGTCTTAGCTTTATGCTTCTTATGTTTTGATGATCTAACAAACTTGTCGTGAAGAACTAGATAGAAAACCTGGCCCACAAGATATACATTTCATATGAACTGGTCGAAGTCTGAAAATCACCAAATGAATGAATGACCACAGGGAGGAACACAATAGGGAGCTGATGGCATGGTCCCTTAGAGTTCTCCAACACAAGCAGAAGTCAGTGACTGTACACAATCAATATAAAGAGGAACACAATAGGGACCTGCTCCCTTAGGGTTCTCTGACAGAAGTACAAGTCAAGTACACAGCTGGAACATAGCAGAAGAAAGTGACCATCTAGCAACTATCACAGAAGAGGAACACAACTAGGACCTGGTCCGTTGGTGTGTCCTGACAGAAGGACAAAGTCCACTATCCAGCTGGAACACAACTGCCCAGAAGTGGCTGTGCAGATAGTGCAGCAGTCACTTCTCATTGGGAAGAAGCGTACACCAAGAGTTGACATCACTATCCATTGTGCTATCTTTTGTAATAAAACAACCTGGTACAAGACACACCATTCTTTGTGCATTCAGTGATATTCTCTCAAGAAACAAAAGTATTTATCCGGCATTAAAAGTCACTGGTGTGTCAAGAACAAGAAGACAACTTCACTAAGGATAAATTTCTAAATGAGTTTATGTACATCCGTAGTTGAGTTGTAATCTTGTTATTTGTTAGCGTTGTCTTAGGAACAAACCAAATTCGTAAACTTCTGAGTTTATGTTGTGACTAGGATAGTCATAAGTTTAAATCCTTTGTAACTAGGAGAGTTATAAAGTGGCTTGTGGTGGTTGCATCACAAGTTAGTTTGAAGTCTTTGCAATAGGGTTTTTGCAAAGTCGCTTGTAATAGGAAAATTGCAAGTTAGTTGAGTTAAAAGCTTACAAGAGTAGGTCGTGGTTTTTTTATCCCCTTGTGTGCGATTTTTCCACGTAGAAAATCTCTTGCCTTCTTTATATCCAGTCTTTACTGCATTCTACGCATCATCTCATATAGGACTATGTATTCTATAGTTTGGTGGACTCATATAAACTAACAAAGAAGTCACTGAATGTTGCATCTGTTCTTACTTTTATATTTCTTGTCATTTGAATATTTTTCATTTGAGGTCATAAGTTTAATTTTGGCAAGCTGGCTTTTACAGTTTTCTGCTTTGGTCAATTTGGAACTACTGATCGTACTTGACAGAAATCACCTCCCAAACTATTACTTTTCCACCAAACGATTCATCGATGTCCAATATATCTCTAAAATTCTGAGGGATTGTTTCGATCATATGACCTTAGCCAAAAGCTCTTCATTCCATATTATCACTTTTGCTTTCCTTATAAATTTAGCATTATTGTCTACTTTGATATATTTGTGATGATTATTTTAATTTTTTGAAAAGGTATATCAAATCTAAAGTGAGTTGTATGACCTCATAATAAAATCGTTGCTGGTACACCAGTTGTTCTTATTACTAACAATATCATGACTCTTGATATGACATTTGCAAGTAATGCATGACATAAGAATATTATTTCGATTCCGCCGGAGGCATCTGCAAAGGATAATCCCGCTATACCAGAGACGACTTTTTATAATATAGTCTTGAAAGCTTATTCTTGTTCAGGATTTAGCTTTGATTGTGCTTCCTCAAACACTTTATGACCTTCTTAATATTATACTAATCTTTTTTAGTTTATGATCTATTTTTTTTAATCTCTAACACTCTTTTTATGAAAATTATGTATCCTAAGATTTTTTTAACTTAAAAAATAATTTTACTCATATGATGAATTTAAAAAATAATTTAGTTGAATTTTCTTACTAAATAATTAATTGAAAGATTAGATTATTGGTTTTAACATAAACTATAATTTATTTTCTGCTGATTTGGATTCTTAATATTAGTTCATCTCATGTTTGAATATTTAACCGTAATTATAATTTACCGACCATAAATTTTATTTTCAAAGAGTAAAAAGATCGATGTGACATTCCACTTTTAGATCTTTATGTTTGCAAAATCATTGTTGGTATTGGCTCTTACCAACCTTTTTCTTTCTTTTCTCACACATTATATTCTTAAAAATCTGCTTAGTTGTTATTTAATAATTGGGTATATTTTTTTATAATACATGAAAAATTAATAATAAAAAAATATTATTTGAGTAGGAAAGCAGTTCAAATATAATATATTATCGTGGAGATTTTTTTCTCAATTTCAATGCTTTATGCAGTCTGTTTAGTATTACTTTTATTTTTTCTTGGTATTGAATAATATAGAGTGGTAATATATTACCAATATGGAGGATTCTTCTGAAATTGATTTTATTATACCTTTCTACATATTTCTAATAAGAATTCAATAGACAATGTTGTATTAATTTTAAAATCTTAAATATTAAGTAAATCAACATAGAAGTCATTGTAGTTCAAAAATATAAGTTATTACAACTATGTCCTTTCCTTATGAGTTCTCCGGTTTAATATTTTAAGTCTACTTTGGTCTATCAATATTATATTCGTACTTTTATAATAATATGTGCTCTCCAGTTTTTAAATAGATTTGGACAATATAATACGTTGTCAAATTAAATTACTAATTGGAATTTTTTAAGAAGTATATCCTAAAAGTATAGGATTACTTGGCTAAAAATATGTCTATATCCTGAAAGTAATTATACTAAAAGAAAATCTAATATGCTCCTAATGGTATTAGGTTTACATGCTAACATGTAGTATTATTTATCTATGCCCGAAAATAATTATAATAATAGGATTCCTAAAGGTAATCATGTAGGATTCCTAACGTGTAGTATTATGTCCTAAAACTAATAGGATTGCAAGGTTAATGTATAGAATTTCGATTATGTCATTTTATTGTGAGTTATTATGCTTAATATTAAAATGTTATTTTATAATCCAACATTTTATTTGTGCTTTTATAATTATATATATATATATATATAATACATAAATTATGTATATATTATACCTTCATCGGCTATTTTTAGTTTAAGCAGTTGAGTGGGCAGCTATTTTGGTTAATTATTCAAAATTAAAATTTAACTTATGCTAAAAGTACCAACTTCAAATTAATCGAGTAATATATAAAGTTTTCCGTATCAAGATAGATCCCACTGCCCGGTGCCGTGTCCCAAATCCAAAACAAAGAAAAACAACGTATCCAGCGAAAATCTGCAGTCTTTCCCTCTGCTTCAAAGTCTTATTAAACACACACGCACACACAGAGAACGCAGCCATCAAAACGTTGCATAGCAGTGCAAGGGGTACTTTGTAAAAATACTTGTTCTTCTTCCAACCGACCAAAAATTGGGCACCAGTAACGCAGTAATAATCGAATAATTCTAAGGGTGTGGTTGACGAATGGATATTGATCCCCGACAATACGAAAACATTGTAAGTTAATTTTCTCTTACTCAGCTAATTTCAGAACAAAGTTGGTGCCTTTTCATGTTATATTATCGGTCAAATTTTTAGTTATTTGATAAACACCATCGTAGACCATTTTGTTCAATCTTTTGAATCTGTAATTTGTTAATAATTGACTTCAACAGTTCTTTTTGATAATTGACTACTTGTATATGTGACATTGTGGTTTTATGCATATATGGGGTTGTTTAGCTTTTTTATTCATATAATTTTTTGCTTATTATGGAAATTAGGGAAACCTTGTTGTCTTTTACTCGTTCCTTAATCATATTTTGGTTTTGGAGGATCAATTTGACCAATTGTTGAAGTCATCTAAGGCATGGGTATTGTGTTTGTTGAAATCAGAGATTGAGTTTATGTAAAAAGAAAACACTAGGTGATTTCTTCCTATATGCCTAAGCTTTGGTGGGCCTGTTACTAAGTAACTATACTGGTGGGAGGTAATAAGTACTTGGTGGAATAGTCGAGGTGCGTGTAAGCGGGTCCAGACACTACCATCATAAAAAAAGATTACACAAAAAGTAAATTACAAGTTGCAACCTTTATCCAATTTCAAAATAATGAGCTACTATTATACTTATAGCGGTAAGCATATATCATAACATTCTGTAAAAAACGTATATCCCTATTGTTTTGTATGACTATTTGAAATTGAGAAGTGAGTAAAGGGAAAGTATAATATGTACCAGTCCACGTGTTTGGTATTATGATGTTTGAGGATGCTAAAAGAGGACAAGATAGACCTAAAACACGAGGTGTTGTCTCAGGAGACCTATAGTCTCTCGTAACCAATGTAGACTTACTTAAGAATAGAATGGGATCGAATGATATATAGACGATATTAGTTAGGATTAAGAATTATTGTTGTTACACTTACATTAGGTCTGGTATTCACTAGGAGTGTTGTTTGTATGTTAGTATTGGGATAAGTGGGAGATTTAAAGAGCTTGTTGGTTTAGAGGACCTCTAGTTCACCCTTAAAGAAAAATGATTAGTATTAGCAATGGAATGTGCTCAATCTGAATGAGGATTGACTGGTTTGGGACATGGCCAACTCCAATTGGTTTGGGATTGAATAATAGTTAGTTGATTGATAAAGTTTTAGTGGGTGTTTGGACATAAGAATTGTAAAATTAGTAGGCGATCACAACACCTTTCGGGTGTGGCATGTGGAGGAGCATCGTGAAGAATTGGGAAGCCTTCAATGGCAACATCACTTACAAGGTGAGAGATGGAAGGAGAATCAGCTTTTGGAATCATAGGGGGGTGTGGAGAGGATACTCTGAGGGTCTCTTTTCCCCACGTCTTCAGAGTTTCAAACTAGAAGGAATTGACGGTTCAACAAATTTGCAAGGACCATGAAGNTGTTGCCACTGCTATATGGGCAAGACATGCCCCAGTCATCTTGTGATTCTTGGAGATGGGGGTTGCTTGACGATGATTTTTTCATCGTAAAGTCCTTTTACCAGAGTATGTTAGTGACAGAGGAGACTACTTTTCCATACTCCTCGATCTGGATTCTTAAGGCGCCCACGAAGGTGTGCTTTTTTGCATAGCTAGCGGCGAGAGGAGTGATCTTGACTGCTGAAAATCTGCGAAAGAGAAGAATTACACTTGTTAGTTGGCGCTACATGTATAAAAGCTCAGGGGAATAAGTTGATCATCTTTTGTTTCATTGCCCTGTGTCCTGGGGTTTGTGGAGGGAAATCCTGAATCTTTTTGGTGTTCAATGGGTGATGCCAAGCACTGTAAAGGAAATGTTATATAGCTGGGCCGGTTTCCGTAGAAGAAGAAAGCAAAAGGCGTGGAAGCTCGCCCCATTAGCTCTCATGTGGATAGTTTGGGGGGAGAGAAATATGAGAGTTTTTGAGGGGATTGAGTCTCCTTTTTCACATCTTAAGAATAGTATTTTATCTTTGATCGCTTTTTGGTGCACTCATATAGCCCCTACTTGTATAGAAGATTGGGCGTCATTTGTAGAGAATCATGTTATGACGTAAATTCTCTACTTTTTGGTATACTTCTTGTATACGGGAATTTTCTCCTTTTTGATTATACAATTTACCTTATTAAAAATAAATTCCAAAAAAAAAAGTGAAATTTTTTTCAAGTGAAAATGATATTTGAAAATTAGAGTTGTGTTTGGACATGAATATAATTTTGGGTTGTTTTTGAAGTTTCATGAGTGATCTGAGTGAAAATTTTGAAAAACAACTAATTGGAGTTTTTCAAATTTTCGAAAAATTCCAAAATTCATCTTCAAGTGAAAATTGAAACATTTATGGCCAAACACTGATTTCGAAAAAAAGTGATTTTTTTTAAAAAAAAATCGTAAACATTCTTATGTCCAAATGGGCTCTTAAAAAGTTGACTTTAAGATCAATATTAAGAAAATTTTGAAAATAACCTATTGCCGGAGAAGTTTGTTCTTGTTTGTGGACTCTCTTTCATTGTTCTGTCTTGGAAAACTTTCAAAAATTAAAGATGTATGATTTAGATGAATCTTGTAGCATGTCTAACTTTTAGTTTTTGCTGGTGTGCTTCGTCAATAGGCTGTCAATGATGGTGATGTTCACAACATTGTCATGTCATACCTTGAGCATAATTGCTTCACAGACACGTTGGAATCATTTACTGCCTCCACTGGCATGAAGCAGACTGCAAATCATCTGGAGGATATGGTGAAGAGAAAAAGTAAGTGATAGTTTTCATCAGGCTCAGATTGCTTCTTGAAGCTTGTTTGTTGGTCATTCTTTTCATTGTGTTACAGTTAATGGCATTAACATTTCCATAAGCCCATCTAGTATTGGTTTGCCTCTAAGCATTGAGAAAAGTTTTCCTTGATATTTAACNGCTTTTCTGTTGATATTCCAACACACATTTTGCATCCCTACTGTCTTTTGTGCATATCATACTCATTTTGATATGTCGAATGACTGTAAACTTGGGGCGCAAATTTTACTTCATTGTTATTCTCCAATGTTTGACGATTGAATGTGTAACACAATAATTGAAGGTGTTAAAAGGGGATGAGATAGACCTAAAATAACATAGAAGGAAGCTGCCTCAAAAGAACTACAATCTCTAAAGTCCATGCTGGCTTAGCAAAAGAGAGAACTTATTAGAAGAAAAATATCCAAATAGGTAATATTAGCTAGTCGGGAATAAGGTTTGGTCATTGTTGGTACGTATGGTAAGTCTAGTATGTACCAGGTATATTTTCACCTTGGTTAAAGAAGGATGTGTCAATATCAGGATAAGCGCGAGATTTAGAGGATATTTGATTTTAGAGAAGCCCTAATTATGAAATGAGCCCTAATGAGCAGAATGAATGTTTAGAACTCAGATAACCAACCCAACTTGCTTGGGGATTGAGACGTAGTGTTGTTGTATTCACATTCAATGCATAGGAACAGCAGATGGTTTTACCTATTTCAATAAAGTGAGGCAGATTTGAAAATGTTAACAAGATGCTGTTTTATTTCCTTTTTTCCTTTTCCTCTTTATAATTCAGTTTATCCAGTCCGTGGTAAGCATTGGCATGCTGTAAGATGAAGTTGTTTGGATTCTGGCGTTCCACTTATTAATTTTAGTCTTTTAGACGTGTTTGATTGATAGTCCTAACCATAGAGTTATCTCCAGGAATTTATCATTTGGCACTAGAGGGGAATGTACTGAAGGCCATTGAACTTACAGAGCAGCTCGCTCCTGACTTATTGGAAAAAAATAAGGATCTGCATTTTGATCTCTTGAGCCTTCATTTTGTTGGACTCGTCTGCTCAAGAAAATGGTGAGCACGGTAGGCCAATGGCTTCTTTGGAAGAGATGAACTTACATTGTTTAACAATTTTTTTACTATCTTCATGTGGCAGCACAGAAGCTCTGGAATTTGCACAGACGAAGTTGGCTCCTTTTGGAAAGGTGCAGAAATATGTTGAAAAACTTGAAGTACGTTTCTTCCCTAGCGAATCTCTCAGATATTCTCTTATAACTACCTCGAACTTGTCTAACTATTGGAATTTTGTGGCAGGACTTCATGGCTTTATTAGCTTACAATGAGCCAGAAAAGTCACCCATGTTTCATCTATTAAGCTTGGAGTACAGGCAGCAAGTTTCTGATAGTTTGAATAGAGCAATACTTGGTGTGTTTTAACGGGACTTTCTTGGTGTTATGATTTCTTATGACTACTTTCTCTCCTCTCACTCATTTTCTATGTCATGATGCTGGCAGCAAATTCCAACCTCCCCAGCTATTCTGCAGTTGAAAGGTTGATACAGCAGACAACTGTTGTAAGACAATGCTTAAGTCAAGAATCCAGTAAGGTTTGATCTTAGAACTTTATTTCGTGATCTGTTGCTTAGCATTCTGCGGACGGGGAGTATAGAGGAGTGAAAATGAGTGTTAAAAAGCGAAAGTTTTGATATAGCTCAGATGATCCATTCCTGGCGCAACCCCATTCTCTCTCTCTCTCTCTCTCTCTCTCCC